CCGCCCATGGCAACGGAGCCAGGTGACTGGAACTCTGAGCCAAAATGAACCTTTTCTCCTTTAAGTAATCTTCCTTCGGTACTTGTCATAGCAACGAACAAATGGACCAGCTTACATGCAAAGGGACCTCACATGCAGGGTCATTAAGGAGGATGGATGCAGTCAGAGCCAGGGAGGAAGCCAGGTAATGCTGCAGACAGTGTGAGTGTCCATCAAACCTTCCTCGGGGCTTGTAGGGCTCGGCTGGAGATGGCACCCAGTTTCATTCATTCAGTGATCCTGGTCACTCCTCCAGGAGGTGGCTAGTAAGAGAATAAAGCAAAGAAAAGGGTTTAAAGTCCAGAACAGAGAGGTGTAGCACCCCAGAGCAGGGTCCCACGTTTTCTGGCAGTAGTATCTAATATACTTCAAATGATGATGTTATCCATGGAGACAGTGTATTCAGTCCTGCTCTTGTACTTAAGCACACACACACATTAATTAATTAATTAATTAATTAATTAATTAATTAATTTTTAAAGACTTTAAAATAAGAAAAGTTCCACATAATTTAAATAGCACAGAATTATTTGTTCTTGCTAAGACTAACAACAATAATAAAAATCACTAGCTCATAGTCTAGAAAGGAAAATGCACCATATGACTTGGGTACCAACAGGAAGGGGGATTCATAATAAAGGTAACATAGGGTTCTCAAGACAGATCAACATGCTGTTTGTTGTGCAGTGGGTCCATTCATCCCACAATCCATTCTTTGGAAGGAGCAGGCTACTGGGGACATCACCAGCACCCTTTCCACATGGGACTATCCTAGACACTGTAGGATGTTTAGATCCTTGATCCTACTCCGTATCAGGGTTAAATGTAATATGGCTAAATATTATATTTAAACAATATAGATATAACTACTTAATATAAGTAACATTTTGTAATTACTCCCCTGACTCTCCGTAGTGCAGAAATTACAGTTCCTGAATGAGAGCCCTATAAATCTGTGCCATATCCACAAGTAGACGAGGTAGTGTTCGAACATAAGGGTACACCAATGAGAGGCGCTAAGAAGATCATTGTTGTCCCACACCCAGGACATGAGGAGAGAAGTGACAGCTTCCCTTGCTGCCAAGGACCCTGTGGCATCCCAAAGGCCAGAGCAGCTGCATGATGGGAGAGAAGGGTGTGTGGTTGCCCCAGAGCACATTTGAAAGAGAATCGGAGGCTGAACAGCCTGGAGGCAGCATTCACAGAACTGAACAGACTCGGCCATATGTCTTTGTTCCTTTGCGAGAGGAGAGGTTGTTTCTTTGGAGATAAATCGCAGTCTGCTTGACATTTGCATGAAAAACACAGGGGATAAGCCCTGTGTTTCGGTTCTTTTGTCGACACCTCATAGTACCAGGCTGGAGAGATGGCCCAGCAGTTAAGAACACTGGCTGCTCTTGCAGATGATCAGATTCAGTTCTCAGCCCCCACATGCTGGTTCATAACCATCTGTAACTCCAGATCCAGGGTTTCCAATGCCTTCTGACCTCATCAGGCACCCCACCCACATACGCAGACGGTCTATGCAAACCAAACAGCCACACGTGTGACTGGTAAAAACAAATGCGCATGAAAACATGGACCTGTACGTCGGGCATACTGGGCAGTTACTGAAGAGGACGTGCCGTGTTCACTCTGAGAGTGAGGCTTCGGGTGGGAAGGATCAGGAATTTCCCAGTGTCTCCTGGGAATCTCCTTGCTCTGCCATCCTTCCCACCAACACTTGTCCGCATCCTCTGCCTTCCCAGTGAGCAGCAGTTATCTGTGGGGGCAAACATCAAGAGACTCCTCACTCCACCACTGGGGCCCCCACACCTCCCTTCTCTACCTTTTAATAGCAAAACTATCTATAGGACATCGACTTGCTAATATCTGGCCTTTTTTTTTTTTTTTTTTTTTAGTTGTTTAAAGTAGGAAGTGTTAGTGATTCCTGCTCGAGGTTTGCTTTAAAACTTAGAATACAGAGAACTGTTGTCATGCATTATTTATGTTGGGGGTTCTTGTTTGTTTGATTTTTGCTGTTGTTGTTTTGATTTTTATAAGATGGGGTTTCTCGTACTCCAGGCTGACCTCAGACTGACTGCGCGAAGCTGAGGATGACCCTGAATTTCTGACCTCCCTGCCTCCACCTCTAAATGCTGGGATTACGTGGGTGTACCATCAGACTAGGGTAGTGGAGGACAGAACCCGGCTTTGTACATGTTAGGCAAGCACTCTACCAACCAAGCTACATCCCTAGCACTCAGGAATTATTTGGGAGTAAACTCTAACCTGATGCCTATCATTCCTAATTATCCCACAAACGGAGACAATCTCCTACATGACAAAATCAAGCTGTCATTATCGGGAAGTTGGCAGCCATACCTTAACAAACCATCTAACCCACAGTCCTCGTTTGTAAAGCTCCAGTTGTCCCATAATGTGCTTTCTGTCCCAGAGATCCAGTTCTAAACTTCCTGTTGCTGACAGTTGGCTTGTCTCCTTTCGGTCTCCGTAGTTATCCCTCTTTTCTCGGTTTGCATGAACTTGGCACTTATGAAGAACACAAGCTGTAAAGTCATCCCCCTGTGTTTCTGACATCTGGACTAGAAAGGCCAGCATCTGCCTCTCTCCCTTTTTAGCTGCCCACGAGCTTCTGCCCAGGGACGGGGTTGCTGGGAGGAACTCAAGGAGGATGACTGAGCAAAGGGCTGGCCCTAGCAGAGGGAAGGGGCATTTCCTTAGCTTTCTGTTCTTGTCTCCTTCCTCCCGCCCTTCCCTGTGATTGAGGAGCGCAGGATACAGAGAGTTATTTGTGCATAATCTTTCCTTGAATTCACTAATAGGAAAGAAAACTTGTAACCAAGCCTGACAACCTGGGTTCGATCGCCGAGTCCCACATGTTAGAAGGAGAAAACTGACCTCTGTGGGTTGTCCTCTGATCTCCACATATGAACACACACAAACACACCCACCCCCACCCCCCACACCCACCCCCCACCTCAGTGACTACTATATAAACATTTATAAAAGAACAAATGAATGGTGAAATATTGCTGTGGGACAATGCTTTTGTGCACTGGTTTAGTAAAACGCTGACTGGCCAGTAGCCAGGCAGGAAGTATAGGCAGGATAAGCAGACAAGGAGAATTCTGGGAAGAAGAAGGGCTGAGTCAGGAGTCACCAGCCAGACACAGAGGAGGCAAGATGACAAGGCAGAACCGAGAAAAGGTACCAAGCCACGTGGCTAAACATAGATAAGAAATAGGGGTTTAATTAAGTGTAAGACTAGTCAATAATAAGCCAATGACTGAGCTAATGGCCAAGCAGTTATAATTAATATAAGCTTCTGAGTGGTTATTTTATTAGTAGATGAGGGACGGTGTGACTGGGTGGACACAGAAAAACTTATTTCTATATCAAAATATACTTTTAAATAAATGCCTAGACAACACCTAGTATTGGGATTAATAGCTGGTAATATCAAAGTAGTGTGTCTTGCTTTGTTCAGGCTAATATGAAAAGCCATAATTAGATGGATTAAAGAGTAGTCCGTGGTCTTTAGAAGCCCCCCCCCCCCACTGCTCCCTTGTTCACAGAGGCTGCTGCCACCAACCAATGCTGTTCTATTTTTTTCCCAACATGTCAAAAAGAACCTTTATTCCTTTGCACAGTTTCATGCTTTCTTGCCAGCTGCCTTTGAAGCAGGTGCTTTCTGGGCTGGGTCTTCTGAGCCTTCTGACCTTTAGCAGGAGGAGCTGCCTTCTGGCCTGCAGCCTTCTGGCCTGGTCCTGTCGCCTCCTTGGCCAGAGCTTTAGCTTTCATAGCAGCTGCCCCCGCTGCTGCAGCAATGGCAGCCTTAGCAACAGGTGCTTCTGGGGGAGAAGCTTTCGGGAGAGCAGCTCTTTGAAGTTTCTTCACTTCAGTCTTGATTATTCTGTTCCTCATTTTCTTTGCCTTCATGACTTTGAACCGATCAAAATCTGTCATCTTGGCTTTCCTTTCTCTGGCATCAATCTTCATGGCCCATCTTGTGGCTGCCCATTTTGCACTGATATCTGCCTTCTCCCAAGCCTTTCGTACATACTTCTGATGGGCACTGTGTGGGAACTTGAAGATGACGTCAGTGAGCTGCACACACTTGAAAGGCATGGCCTGCCTCCTCACCCGAGTGCGAAGTCCATCCACTAAAGACCTGTTCTGGTCAATGACATCTACAGGCGCCACCGGCTTTCCTGCATGAGGCCCAAAGGAGACGTAGGCCACCTGGCCAACCTGCACAACCGTGTTGGCGGTGTTCAGCCACCATGCTGTTCTTTATGAATTATATTCATCATAGAAGGGAATACTAAATTTCAGGTGGAGGGTAGTAATGATAGGATTTTTTTTTTCAAGTCTTCATGAGTCTGTGTACAGGAATCCCAGGCTAAGAACTGATCCAAGCTGAAAGATGGCTCAGTGGTTAAGAGCACTGGCTGCTTTTCCAGAGGACTCAGGTTCACTTTTTAGCACCCACATGGCAGCTCATAACCATCTGTAACTCCATGTCTTAGTTAGGGTTTCTATTGCCGCGAAGAGACACCATGGCTTATAAAGGAAAACATGTAATTGGGACTGGCTTACATTATCTTCATGGCGGGAAGCATGGTGGTACACAGGCAGATATGGTGCCAGAGAGGTAGCTGAGAGTTCTGCATCTGGATCCACAGGCAGGAGAGAGAGAGAGAGAGAGAGAGAGAGAGAGAGAGAGAGAGAGAGAGAGATTGATTGTAGGAAGTGCATTCCACCATGTGTGTGTGGCGGTCAGAGGACATCTTGCAGGAGTCAGGTCTCCCCTTCCATCTTTACTTTGGTTCTGGAGATCCACCTCAGGTCATTAGGTTGGTGCAGCAAAGACCTTTACCCCCTGAGCCACCTCCCCAGCCCAGTTTCCAATAGCTTTGACTGCCTGTTTGAGCATTGGGATGCGTTTTGTCTTGCAGATAGCAGTTCTCTAAACACTGAGCAAAAGGGCTCCTGGGACTCTGAGAACTTCTGGCTTGATCCTTCTGTGAAAGGCCAGTTGGAGACCGGTGAAGAGGAGGGTGGACTTCGGAAATCGCTGGACAGCTTCTATGAAGCATTTGCCTATCCACTGCCGGGCTCTGGGGATCAGCTCTCTGCACCTGTGTGTCAGTGCCTATCTCAGACAATCTCTGAACTTGAGGGCCAGGAGAGCCAAAAGTATGCTCTCCGCAGTTTCCAGGTGGCCCGAGTTGTCTTCACCCGGGATGGCTGCTCTATCTTACGGCGGCATTCCAGGGAAACCCGCTTCTACCCTCTGGAGCAAGAAGGCAGCTCGGTGGAGGAAGAAGAGCCCACCCCAGGACTGTCAAGAGAGGTCATTCATTTCCTCTTGAAGCAGACCATCATGAAAGACCCATAGCTGGTACTCGTGTCAAAGTCTGGAGGGGAAATGCTGTAACTTGGCACTCAGAGTCCCTGAGGGGGTCTCCTGGCAGCTTCCTGTTTCCAGCCATTAGCTACAAGCTTTGCAGGTAGAGGCTGGCACCAGCGACCTGGTGATGGAGCCAGTAAGCCTATAGATGTACCATCCTACCACTCACCTTGGCCAAGGCTGCTACTGACTCAACTGGGGTTCAGTCCCAGCCCAGCTTCCTTGCCTCAGTCTGTGTTCCAGAGTGCTCTCCTGGGGTCCAGGCCAGGGCTGGGACTTGGGCAGGAAATCATTTCCTCGCCTGGCTCATCCCTCCTCCCACTCACCTCCTGTGCCTCTGGGGTCTTTTCTTAATAAACCTTTATATCTGCACCAGTCTACTCCTGAGAGAACAAGGCTCAGAGCACAGGCTTCTGGGAGATGAGTGTTTTGAGGATACACATTTCTGTGCTGAATCAAGGGTAACAATTATACAGAGTTGTAAATGGGGACCAATTGATTGGCCTGAAGCAATGTACAGACATAAAAACACTTCCAGATACTACATTACATCTTAATCATACCTTTGGCTCCTCTCCAAAACCAGAATTCCCTGTCTGTATTGACAGTGAGGAAGGAACATTCGGACCATCCACAAAGCTAAAATTCACACACAAAGGGGCTTCGTCATCTCCACTAGATTGCAGGGTGGAAGGTGAGGAGACAGTGCTGGACCATCCACTCAGGATATGGGAGCACAGGTCTGACATGTAAAGGTGGCACTGTGTAACCTTGCCGATTTGTGTGTGAACGGAATAAGGAAATGCTTTGCCAGGCAGCTTTTCCCTCACCGTGTTATTCTTGCCCTCCGTCCACCGCCAGCACCCTCTGTCATCCTCTGAGGCTTGCCCCTCCTTCCTGCCCTGTTCTTGCCTCCAGCACCCTCTGTCATCCTCTAAGGTTTGCCCCTCATTTCTCCAGCACCCTCTGTCATCCTCTAAGGTTTGCCCCTCATTCCTGCCCTGTTCTTGCCTCCAGCATCCCGAGCTGCAGTGCACATGCTTGCCCAGAGCAGGGCTCTGCTGTCACCTGTGCCCGTCCTCCAGGCAGGTGCACAGCCTGATGGGGAGCTCTGTAAATAGCTAGTTCGGGCTTGCACTGGCAGATGCTCCACTCTGTGGGTTGCGTCCTGAGCCCCAGTTTGAGAATGACGTCAGCTGGCACCAGGAACTCTGAAACAGTAATTGGAAGCCTCATAGAGTTCCTCAAGCAAATTACATCAGTAGAAAGGCTTATTTCCCTCGTTTGGAGGAATAGCAAAAGTTGGCAACACTGTGCAGTTGGATTCTTTGAGAAACTCGAGGTGAAGTTTAATTGGCATGAGACTCCAAAGCTTTTCAGAAAGTGGTTTATGCAAATGGGGCAGCCAACAAGTACACACTGAAAGTCAGTACATCGGAGAGTCTCTTGGGGACTCTTGAAGGGAAAGAAGCTAAAAAGAAAGAGTGGTGTGAGCAGGCTTCCGGTTCAGGGATGGTCTGAGGTGAAAGACTTCTACATGGAAATGTCAAGGCACATGTGGAGGGGGTTCCACACGGTAGGAAATCACATGAATAGGACCTTGGGAGGTGCTCACAAATGGGGCTCAGCTTTCTCTCTCACGGGCATCATCTAATGCTCCCTCCTGTTCAACAGTCCTTCCAATAATCATGAAACTGGTGCAATTTCAAGCCCAAACCTTTAGGTTAGATGTGAAGGTTGCTGGTTTTATTGTTTTAACATGAAGCATACCAGTAGCCACCCTTGAAGAATGGTGAAAATCATCCAGCTACAGGGACACTCACAATTCGTCTCCATGACTATCAACAGAGGGGATCTGGGTTACTCTATGCTTGCTTTTAAAGGACAACAAAAAAGCTATTTGAATCTTCGTGTTGGGAAGTAGTGGCTTCTATTTGGAAGGGAGATTTTAATATCAGGGAATGTCTGAGCTGTACTGAGATCAGTCCTGGAGGTGTTTGGCGAGAGGAAGCCCCTGACAGTGGAGAATGTGGGAGAGTAAAAGCCAGGGTTGCCCTGGGGCAGCACCGAGCGTGGTGTGTGTTCACTTAGATCTGAGTAAGTGTTTGTGACAGGCCAGTACAAGACATTTGATTCCCTGTGGTCTTGCCCCTTAATTTGATTTCTGTGAGGATAGAGAGGCATTTTCCATTTACCTCTGTGAACCTTTAATAAAGACTAAGATAAGAATACTGCAGCCCAGGCCTTTGGCAGTATTGCTTATTTCAGCACTGAGGGTAAGTTCATGACATCTTATCATCTCATGAACACTGTGAGGGGAGTTACGATATCATCTGTGATGTTTTCCAGAACCACAGAGCCTTTGTGAGGGTCACTTTGTTCCAGAAACGTCAAATCCTGAAGATGAGAACTGCGAGCTGAATCTGAGGTTCATGGCCTGTGCTCGGGTTATTGGCCCGTGTCTCCAGATGACTCATGCTCAGGATTGAAACCTGGGAGCTTGACTTGCTCAGCCTGCTCTCCTCTGCTGAGTTATACCCAAGCCTCGATGATCTCTTTTAGGGAACATGTGGCCGATTATATTATCAGTAATTTCAAAACAGTACAAAAGCAGCGATTCTTTTTAAACTTGTAAAGGTTTTTTTTTTTTTAATGTTGTATTGGATCACAGTTACAAACAAAAGTGCATATGTCCTATATGACTGTCTCAGTAATTCTCACAGGCTGAACCCACCTGTACAACCAGAATCTTCCTTGAGATACAAGATTCGTCAGCCCGGGGATGCCTGCTAAGGGGAGGATTCCATCTATAGAGTTGGTACTGACCAGTTTTCTGGGGGTGCTGGTTGCACACAATCTGAATAAACACATAGACAGTGCTTCTTTTGTTGCTAACCTATTCTGTTCAGTATGCTAGGAAAATACCAAGACTACATGTAATCCATGGTTTTACATAACTTTGGGTTAGTTTAATATAAGTACTTAAAATGTAAAAAGCTGATTTAATAAAAATTAATCGTAGAATAGGTGATACCAGATGCATCAAAAGTTAAAAATATGGTGTGCCCCCAAACCACTGACGTCCAAGACACAGTAGAATAGACTATTCTAGGAGGGATTGTGGACATCTACAGGGTGGAGTAGAGGAGTGCAGAATACATCCATGTTTCAAGCTACCTGTGCCTCTCTATGCCACAGTGAAAGTTGTTTTAAAAAGAAAAGCATGCACGAATGGCCAGACAATGTAAAAGACTAGCCGTATCAAAAAGGAAAACATTTTCTGTCTAGTAATTGAAGCAGTACCAATGTAACAATAGACACATCAAAGAAAAGGATTGAGTCCATAAATATGAATAAGCAGTGTGGTGGTTTGGAAGGAAATGGCCCCCATAGGGAGTGGCACTATTAGGAGTGCACTATTAGGCACTATTAGGCTTTGTTGGAGTAGGTGTGGTCTTGTTAGAGGAAGTGAGTCACTGTGGAGGCTGACTTTGAGGTCTCCTATATGCTCAAGCCACACCCAGTGAGACAGACCACTTTCTGTTGCCTTCTGATCAAGATGTAGCCAGCACCATATCTGCCTATAAGCCGCCATGCTCCTTGCCATGATGATAACAGACTGTAACTGAACTGTAAGCTGCCACCTTAATTAAATATTTATTAGAGTTGTCGTGGTCATGGTGTCTCTTCACAGCAGTAGAAACCCTAACTAAGATAAGCAGATATGCAAATTAAATACATGATGAAGGTGGCATTTCAAATTAGGCATGGCTGGGGATGTAGTTTGGTGTAGACCACTTACATAACATGCACATGGTCCTAGGTTCATCGTTGTTGTTGGTTTTTTAGATTTTTTGGTGGGGCCCACAATCCAGCTCCCAAATAAATCGCACATGGAGGCTCATTAATTATAAATGCCCAGCCTTAGCTTGGCTTGTTTCTTGCCAGCTTTCCTTAACTTATCATCTGCCTTTTGCCTTTGGGCTTTTCCCATTCTCTTACTTCTGTAAATCTTACTCCGTGGCTTGCCATGTAGCTTGGTGGCTGGCCCCTGATGTCCTCCTCCATCTCTGGCTACTTCTCCTCTCAGATTTCTCCTATGTATTCTCTCTGCCTGCCAGTCCCACCTATCCTTTCTCCTGCCATGCTATTGGCCATTCAGTTCTTCATTAAACCGGTGTCTTAGACAGACACAGTAACACAGCTTCACGGAGTTAAACAAATGCAACATAAACAAAGGTAACAGACCTTAAAATAATAATCTATAACAGTTCATCACCAACATAGGAAGAAGAAAAGAAAATGTAAGATAAAGACAGCTGTCAGCAATGGTTTTGGAATGATGGACTCCCTACTTTGGGAGAGGGAGAGTCAAAATAAAATTCTTATATCAAAATGTATTCTAGATGGGTTCAGGGTAAAAAATCTAAATCATAAAGTGTGATATATATATATATATATATATTATATATATATATATATATTATATATATATATGTGTGAGAGATTTATATATATATAAAAAGCATACATACACATATGGGGAGAGAGGGATGTCTTGGAATGGGGAAATCTTTCTAAGAATTGCTTTTAAAAAAGAAAACCCTAAAAAGCTCAAAGAAATTTTGATGAAATTGTCTAAAAACCATACATCTTCTGGCCGGGCAAGAATGGCTCAACAGGTTGTAGTGGGTAGCTGTTCTAGCTATGACCTTGAAGCACCACCCCCAGTGAGGCAGCAGGTAACAGCTACATCTGCCTATGACCTTGAAGAACATGCCCCCGGGGCCTGGCTGCTGGGAGTGGGAGGGACCCTTAAGACCTAGGATGCACATATGCAGAGCTCTCTTTGCTCCCTTGTGGTTTGGATGTTGGGACTGACCAGGCAGATCTTGGACCAGGAAGAAGAGCAGTGTGGGACATAGCTCGGCTTTCCTGGATCCTGTGATAAATACCGTGCTATAGTGAATTGCCCCCTAATAAATTCCTTTGCTCATTATAAATAGACTCTGTGGATTTCTCACTAACAGGTACTTGCTGCATTTTGAACTGGGAGGTGATGAAATGGGAATAAAGGGGCCAGCAATCCAATTCTAAGCTAATTTTGTTATGAAGACAGCAAAATCATGAGGTTATAGTCACACATAAAAATTGAGGGGGTAATGGAAGAGGAGACAGAAAGAGTGTAAGAGCTGGAGGGGATGGAGACACCAAGAACACAAGGCCTTCAAAATCAACATGAACATGCACATGTGAACTCAGAGGCCGAGGCAGCATGCACAGGGCCTGCAGGATGCCCCCGTAGGGTCCCAGAGCTGAAAGAAGACGTGGACACGTGCCCCATCCCTAACCCAGAAGTAATCTCCAGTTGATCACCACTTACAACTGAAATTGAATTTCTCCCAATGGCGTCTCACTGGGGCAACAAACTATTCTAAAGTGTAGGCTGCATGCGCAGCAGTAGATGCCAGCAGAAAAAGAACTCAACAAATCTGTGGAGATAACTTATCTCATAATGGGTCAGGGCTCTTTTTTTTTTTTTTTTCAATTTTGTCTTACTGTTTTTATTTTATTTTAGTTATATATTAATTCTCCCCCCTATTTTTAACCATATAGGTCCTTTGCATTACGTTTTATGTCTTCCAGTTTATTGTCTTTATGAGATTCTTGTGCATGGAAATGAACGGGTCTCTTTTTCTTGAGCCTTCTTCTGGGCTCTTTTCCTTCTGTTTGTTTTGTTTAATTATGATGTGTTAATTTTTGTTTATCTTATTTCAGTAAAAGGAAAAAGTTGAGGGGCAGACACTCTAATATGAAAGTGTATATCACCTTTGTAATTAAATAAACACATAAAAAACAGAGGCAGTTAGTGGTGGCCTCTGCCACATGCCACCCCCATGGCCAACATGGTTTAAGATAGCATGGTTGAGTTCTCACTGTGTCTGCTTCAAGAAGCATGGAGAACTAACAGTTTTTAAGATGGTCTCAGGTCCATACTTAACTCCCTGGTCTGGGGTGCTGCCCTTTGTTCCTAATGGCCTTCCTAAATGCAACTACTTCCCCTTTAAGAGTCTTTCCCTAAGGCAGACCTTTCCAGACCATTCCTTCCTTCTATACTTCCCTTCACCTCCCTGAACCATTGGGAGGGGTTTCCTTTTTGTACTACCACAGCATCTCGGACTTAATCACACCACAGACACATAAGGCAACATGTGGTTTGCAGGTCACTACACCTCACCTTCACCATGCCTAGCCCACTCTATCCATAAAACACAGTGCTCACACACGTCAGAACGCAATAACCTCAAAATACTTTAGTAGAAGTGAAATAAAGCAGGTCACATCAACCTCATTAGCACGTTGGAGGGTTGTATAGACCCCAATCAACATCGAGGCTTCTCTTCTGCCATATCTGGGCTCAGCACACCTGTTTATTGCTTTCCTTTTCCTTCCCCACCCCCACAGTTATTTATAGCATCCAACTCTCAGACTCTGCTTTCTCCCATGTGGAAAACATCTTCCCTATGCATGGGAGAACTCATCCTTGTCAGGAAGGTCTCATTGGTATAAACCATTCTCTTGGAAGATACGCTTGTGGTCCAGGGAAGGTCCACCCGAGTGTGTGAAATGCATTGGCCTCATTCTCTCATTGCTTTGTCCTCAAGTCCCTGGGAGCTGTGCACCAGTGATAGTGCTTTTACCAAGAACTCTCAAATCATTCCAAGCAAATCTTTGTACATGTCATCTCTGTGGGTGGTGCATTCGCAGAAGACACAGACTTAGCATCCCTGGCCACTCCCTGCTTTCCTTCAGCCCCGGAGCCTACAGTGTTCAGATGCCTGGAACTCCCTGGGCTAGCTCATGGAACTGTAATTTGTGCATGTTAGACCATGGGAGTCTTCCAATTGCCTTCACAAGTCCTCCCATGAGATCTTCAGTGCCCGCTGCAAGGTGCTATGGGAGCTGTGAGGGAACATTTTGGTGGAAAGTGTGCTGTTATCCCTGGTAGCAAATATGGTGGTATTTTATTTGTACTGAAATGTGATTTTAATTGTATGTTAATAAATAAAGTTGCCTGGGGGTCAGAGCTATTAGAGCCATAGCAAGAGCATGGCGGTGGTGGCACACGCCTTTAATCCCAGCACTTGGTAGGCAGAGCTAGGTAGATCTCTGTGTGTTCAAGGATACAGCCAGCATTGGAGACACACGCCTTTTATCTCAATATCATAGAAGACC